TTCTGTAGAGTTGATTAGTGACTCTATTAAACTTCGGTTAATGCAAGGAAATTATAGATATTATATCTAAAAAATCTAACGTTTTGTAAAAAAAAAACCATAACAACAATCTAACAACAACAAGCTAACAATCTTTTTGAAAATCTGTAATATTTCGGAATATCACAGACGGGATTTTTTCCACTTAAAACTGTTTTAGTGAAATTAGATTTATGCAAATGGAATTATATTCAATGCTCTTGCTTATTTCATTTAAGGATGTTTAAAAACACATCGCTTTCGACTTTTTCATGAATATTTTAATTTGGCCTAGTGCCCTATTCAAATGCCGCAATTTGCCACTCCTTACCGACAGAAGCACGTGACGGTCTCCTCGACGTCCAGCGGGAGTGACAGTTGTCCTGCAGATTGCGCACCCGTGCCACCAGTTCCGCCGCCTGCGCCACCTGCACCGCCTCCCCCCGAGGCGCCACCTGCTCCAGAGGAATGCCCCTTGCCCCCATTCTGGCCATTGGCATTCTGGCGCGGCACAGCTCGTCCGGGAATGTGACGCGAAGAGGCGTGCAGGAAGGTGGCGGCGAAGGTCGAGGACAGCGAGGTGTGCGATGCCGAGGGGCGTGGCGTGGAGGCGGTGGGCGTTTGGGGGGCCGTCGAGGATCCATCGGTGGTGGCGTCTGCCAGGGGAACCGAGGAGTAGCGAACGAGGATCGCACGGCTGACGCGATTGCCACCCGTTAGATTCGAAATGGCCCAGTTCATGGCCTGCGGAGCGATTGGCTAATGGAGGAAAACAAACTGCGGGGAACTAAACGCTTCCGCCGCTCGACTGCAACTGAGCTGTTGGCCGGGCCAAAAGGCAAAAAAGGCAAAAAGGGCCGGTGGACGGGTGGTGGTCGTTGCAACCTTCTTCGCACATACTAAATATACAATATCTTGGGCTGCAGAGAATTGGTTTTGCCTAGTGATTTCAGCCACGCCCCACAACTTGGCTGTCCGTCTGTCAATCAATGGATTCCCCTTCTAAGGCTGCAAAAAATTGGCCAACTGTCGCTTTTCTCTCTCGCTATTTATGCCTTTCCACAGAGCATTTTTTTCGCACATTTTTTGCTGCAGTTTGTTTGTAATTTTCCTTTTTTCCTGCACTTGCACCCGTTGCCGGCTAATTCAATTAGAGTTGTACTAAGTGCGCTTCAAGGCTGGCGGAATGCACACGCCGTCGTCGAAGCAGCGAGGGTTGCTAATAAGATACGTGTATAGTGCACACTTACGACTACTTGCTCGCAATTATCCCATGAACATACCCCATACCTTCCATAATTTCGCCTGTGCAAAATTCAATTTGCCGAAAGAAAGGCTTTAATTGCCATAGGAAAATGGGCACAAAAACTATAAAGTTTTATTTTTTAACATGTCTTAGATTTTATACATTTCATTTCCCTAATTTATCCATCATAATTAAATCTATTGTCTGGCCTGCTAATAAAAATCTGTACTACTTTATCTGCTTTTAAGGAAACATAAAATATTTCTCTATTGTAAAGATAAATATTATAAATTTATTTATATTAAGCAATACACTAAGGTATTGAAACTCCTTGGAAAGGCCGAGGCTTAAACCAAAAAAATAGTATTTTTTAATAAATATTTATATGCCATCAGTGCTTGTTTTCCCCAGTGGATGTGAAAGCCCTTCGCGTTGGGAGAAAATCGATAGCTTTCCTCTTGCCACATTTTTAATTGTTATGCCCGCTCTAATGAAACCCTCCTTCGCTCCATTGGAGGGCGATGACGTCCGGCCCAGTCCACCCAAAAAAAAAAAAAAAAAAAGCAAGTGCAACCCTTTCCCGAGATGAGTCCGTGTATCTCGCATGATGTTGTCCTCCGCCGGCAGAGCCATCAACTGATGTGTACTTTTCCCCTTTTTATCTTTATTTTCCTTATTTTTTTTGGTGTATGGGGTGTGACATGTGACACAATTTGTTTGTTCTTTGTTGCTCTCACATCGTTTGTTTTTTGTGTTCCTTTGCCTATTTGGATGCTGTGACAGTCCACAAAAGAGTGGCCCCCGTGTGTGTACATACATATGGACGGACATACATATATGGTATATATTGTACCCCGGTATATAGATTCTACTAACGACTTTAGCATCTGGCAAAACATACAAAAAAAAGACACACGTAAGCATCAAATTGTCAGTGGGTTGTGCGGACTTAATTTATCCATTCGACCAGGGAGGCATTTATTATACCCTCTACCCTCCAGCCTCCATGTCTGTTTCTAATCAACTCGATTTCCGCAATTTGCCACCGCTCTATTTTCCTGTTTAATCACCAAATTGTGCTTAATTGAGTTTCTTTCCGAACTTTATCCCTTTAATTGGCGTAGTTTTCCAAAGGCTACCATGCAAAAGACAGAGATTGACAACCCCTAAGATGAAGTCAAAAACAGTTGGGCATACTGAACCGAAAAACGATTAACAAAAAGGTGAACTTAACAAGTTTATAAATATGTAATCCCTGTAAAAAAAACAACGCAACTTATAGATTATTTAAGACTTCTCAATGGTAATGTAGTAGATAAGCCAAAATCTGACAATAACTTTAGCTGAACGACCATTCATTTAAATTGTATTCATTTGTATGAAGAGTTTAACAGAATATGTATTTAAGTGCTTAAATTCATAATATAAAACAAAAAGGGTGCAGTAGCACCAAAAAGGTTACCTGGAAGTTCTACAGGGTGGAATTCTTAAAGTTGTTTCCCAAACTCCTAAAAGGGAACATTTTGGAGATAGTCAACCCCAACTTCTTGTCCGGTTTTTACCTTCACAACCCTTATATATGTACATAATTCTTATATCCCTCTGTCTTTTGGGATTTTCTTTACGCATTCTAAAACTCCTTTATATTGCATTAGATCAAGGACTCAAGATGAAATCTTAAATAGTGAATGAGTGTCACGAACTGGTAGTTTGCGATTTCTGTGATGGTTATCTTAAAAACTATCTGTGTGTAAATAATAAGTAATAAACAAATAAATAAACTGAATAATAAACTACATAATGCTTCATAGGAACATCTTTATTCGAAATATTCCGCATACTTTATATTTTTTTACATACTTCCCAAATAATTCAGATTGTGAGTTGTGCATTCCACATTCTAGAACTAAATCGACACCATTGTGGTAATGAAATTGGCAAGTTCAATAAACCTGCTCTTATCTCCAGAATTCCGACCCTGCTTGCTGCAAGGCATAAACAAAAGCAGAAGAGGGGGAGGAGGAGCAGAGAGGAGGCAGAAAAGAGGCGGCAAAGAGGCAGAGAAGACGCGACGAGGAGGAGCACGAAAATAAACGCAGTGCAATGCAATCAAAGTGCAGCGATGGCCTTGCGACTCCGATTCGTGGGAAGAAGAAGACGCCGAGGAGGACGATCACGCACACTGCCACACCGTGCACACACACACACGCACGCACACCTATGCATTTTCATGTGAAGTCGGTGGTCAAGTAATACAAAACACTTGCGACTTGCCGACTTGGTAACCACATTTGAGAAATCGATAAAGAGCCCATTGATTTTCATAGGCCCCAATCACAACAAAGAAATGCCTGGCATGTAACTTTTTCGGGGAGTGAGTAGTACGTCCACAATTACCGTCAAAATAATGGATTATATGTGGGGAATAGGAGACAGAGAAAGGGTTTTATGTAAGAGGTAGCATAGGAGTGTTACGGAAACAAAATATAGCACTATATTTATAAGTGCACACATTGGTTCCTTGGCAGGGGAGGGACAGTAAAGGGCCTCTTTGCAGGGTATTTGGGGTTCTACTCCTGTGGCAAGTGCGACGAAAACAGAAATTTTCAGTCGGCGAAAATGCGAAACGAGGCCAATTGGCAAAAGGCCAAATGGCGACGAAAATGAGCACTAGAGGCAGTAGCAGACGAAAAAGCAGAGGACACCGAAGACAAAGCGACGCAAGAGACCCACCAAGAGGTCAAAAATAAAGAAAATAAGAAATACCCTATATATCATCTATTTTTTTTCGGGAATAGCACTACGAGCCAAAGATTACATTGTCTTTAGTGGTGTAACGGTACTCACCCCATAAGCCAATCGACAGTGTCGCGCAGATATTCCGGAATTCGCTCCAGTTTGACGGCTGTTTTCCTCGGGAACTGCTAATTTTCCAAAAGTTTTTCCCCAGCTGAGGAGCTAACGCACACACGCTCGCCGACCGACCGACACGCACACACACACACGCGCTCACGATTAGCGGTACGCTGACGGACACTCACGCACACCACCACGCCACGAGGATGTGGAGGATCACCTATTTCGGAACTTTTACTTTCGTCAATCAATATTATTTGGTTTCCAAACTTTGCACACCAAAATTTTTTCCTGCTTCTTCTTCACTTGTTTGTGCACTTTGTTGAGTCCCGTTATCGATGCGACCCGATTGTTATCGATAGGCAACGTCTGCGCACACTTTCGATAGCAGCTGCGCAGATCTTGCGAGCGGGGTCCTAAAATCTACGTATATTCTGGAAATACCTGTTTTGATTGGCCATTTTATGTATTTGCAGCTGCAAACTGTTGTTGACAGATCACTTTAATGTCGCTTTAATAACTGCTGTTTTGAGCCTGCAGCCCTGGTTGTTGACAATCAGCTGGGCGAATGCAGAGGCGTAGTAATTGGGGTTTAATGTATTAATTAATTTATTAATTTTTTAAAGCAAATAATGTCAATGCATGGTAAAAACCTTAAATTACCTGAAATTTATAAACATCTAACAAACATTATAATAAAAAATATGTACTAAACTAATTTAAGCATTTATAATGATGTAGAATATTGAAATATACATAATATCCTTTCAAAACTGCATTTAACGTTTTCTATAACAGCTATTTAAATTTTAGTACTCATTCCTGCCGGAGACCTTTAAAAATAATTAATTTGCATAGAGCGGCAGCCCTGAATCTATCGATAACGCAACAGCTGACAGCAGGCCATGCAGTTCCACTGATTTACAGCTGTTAAAATTACATAAAAATGGTACTGCGTTAAATCATATCACGTTAAATCACAAAAAACAAACGTAAAACATTTCGAATCTCTTCTGTTTCATAATATCAAATTGTCCGTGCGATGTCCACCAATACGAATAATTCCATTCCAAAGTCGAGCTCCTTAATTGCGGTGGCACTTGGAGTGGCCGCCGTGGGATATGCCGGGAAGCACCTGATGCGCCGCATGCCCCAGATGACCACCAAATTCAGCGAGGCCCTCAATAACCTGCCCAAATTCGATGCGGAGAGCATGGCCGCCTCCAAGTACTACAAGGGCGGCTTCGATGCCAAGATGAACAAGCGGGAGGCGTCCCTAATCTTGGGCGTCAGTCCCAGTGCGTCCAAGTTGAAGGTATAATGATGTTCTTATGGTGGGCATCTCTCAAGCTTACTCATATTCCAAAGTCAGAGCTCTACAGTAGGATATGCTTAAACTTATGGACAGGGTTCCAAGAAATTTGAAGTAACTGATATTTAGTAGATCCTGTGATAGTCAAATGTTAAGTGATGTTTATAAGCTCGGGTTTAGAATGTCCCATGTACATTAATCTTTTTTTTAGCTACAATATACTTATTTCTATTATTACTTACAGATTAAGGACGCGCATAAGAAGATCATGCTGTTGAACCATCCGGATCGAGGGGGATCTCCCTATTTGGCGGCCAAGATCAATGAGGCCAAAGATTTTCTGGACAAAGCGAAGTAGTCATCCTTTCCTATCGTTTGAGTGCAAATAAAGTAGTAGTTTGTGATTAGCATGTAAGTTGAAGTCTTATGCGTTTTATTACGATGGTTGTAAATTACATATTTAAGAATTTCCTTCTCCCAAGGAGTTGTTACTTGAAAAATCAGGATACATTTTTACAATTTGTACATGTTTATTAACACTTGAGGATGTTATTTGAGTTGTTCAAAGCCCATATTCTATGGAAGGTTTACAAATTTTGACAATAAAATAGAAAAGGCATATCAACATGCTCATAGATGAATGAAAAGTACATATAAATTTCATAACCTATTTTTAAGCATATATGATGTGGAGACAACCATTTCCGAGTCCTAAGTAAGCGTGGTTCGGCAGACAAACGCACTCGTACATCCAACAGTGAACGATCCGAAACTTACAAGTCAGATGCTCTCCCAAATCACAATCTGAGATGCAAGACAATAAGTTTAGTCCATATTTTATATATGTAGATACGTCTCAGCTTGCTCACCAGGACGCATCATTGGATTATGCATGCCGTATGCCACATTGATAAACGCAGTCAGGAAAATTATGACGAGTTTTGAGAACGGCTCCATATGGATTCCTCAGATTTCCAGATGTTTCGGTCTGCATCCAACCATAAACTGATTACGCCTAAATGGTTCAGTTTCAGTTACCTTTAAAAGGTATAATGAATTTCTAGGGAATTAAACACAGTAAAGCTGGGTAAGCAAGTCGGGCCGATTGCATTTTTAACAAGAATCGACAAAAATTATTTTCCGACTAAGATTAGTTGAGTTATGGACTTTAGAACGTCAGCCTTGGGACATTTTGAATTTCCATAACATCAGATAAATTAAAAAAAAAATAAATTTCTAAATTTGAATGCAGATTTTTAGAGAATTGCTCCAGAAACATTTAGAGGTATGGAGCAAAGAACTTCAGCCTTGGGACAATTCTTAATTTTTTGAATATGTACAACATTATACACTACACATACACTCTAAATTTTTACTACTTTGTGCAAGTAACACATACACTACATACATACATTCATACATTCATACATACATACATACATACATACATACATACATATACATACATACATACATACATATATACATACATACATACATACATACAGACGTACATACATATATACATACATACATACATGCATACATACCTACATACATAAACCGGTACATACACTACACCCACTGCTCGACCGGTAAGAGAGATTACTTGAAATATTTTGTGACTCTAAATTAGAAGACATACCTTACAGTCTTCACTAGAACTAGTTGGGAATTATAGGGCTACAAGAAAATATGTTTCCTAAACAAATATTACAACAGTAAGTTAAACATTCTTCAGGCCTTATTTAAGACAATTTGAAAGACAAATATGAAATAATGTTTCTCTATCTGGACAATTCAATTTTAAGTTTTTGTTTACCCGACCCTGTTATACTTGGTGTTCAGATTAAGTGACGTGTTAGGTTCTCACGCTGTTCAGGAAAATGCCAGACCTCATAGACCAGATCAGAGTTTGCTCAGACCATTGTTGGGCCATCCGAAGGAAGTAAAAATAGTGCGGCCAAAACCACAGAACAGCAGCACCGCCCCAAGAATCAATAAAATAATACAACAGAAAATGCTTCTTTTGCTTTGCATACACGAAGCCAGATTGATTTTCAAAGGTTTTCCACTTACGAATATATTAAAACAAACTAAATCATACAGGGGTATACAATTAAATATATTGTGTTTGTACCTACCTATGTGTAGAAATCACTTCTAAAAATATAAATGAAAGTAATCGGAATCATTGAGTGGACTTCTTCATCTGAGCACGGAATTGTGCAACGGATGCCATTTCATTTTGATCCTTCTGCTCATCCATTAGACTCAGCCAGATTGCTTGAAAGCCTTCGTTCGGGACGATGTCTTTGAATATTCGTTCTATTTCATCCTTGCTACGCAATGCCTTGAAATCACTTGGCCATAGGCCACATAAAGTAGAAACCTCCGGGTTTATTACGTCGCCGACACGCGTGTCATCAATGTCATGTTGAATGGGCGTCTTGTGTGGATGTTTGAAGTGCGGAGCCTCTGGGGGTTTTTTCATCAAATCTGCACACAACTGGCGATAGACGGTATCCTGGTTGTAGATCGCCTTCGGCATGGGTGAAATGGATCCAATCAAGGGCAGGGACTTCAGGATGGACAGGAGATCACATAACTCCTCGTATTTCACCCTTTCCGAGCAGCATCCCTCGTCCACGAACAATTGAAAGTGGGACACTGCGTTGCGGATCTTCTCCGCATCTGCGGGAATACTTAGCTTGTGCAACACCTTGATAATCTCGTTGAGTGGCAGCTGACGATTGCCCTCCTTATCCCTTTTTCCAAGAGCCACGATCACCTGGTTCATATTGAAGTCGTCCCGCTCCTGGAGCAATTTGCGCAGCATGTTCAGGTGACTTACGGCACTGGCCAATTTCTCGGACTTCACTGAGGGCGAGGTGTATTCTAGCAGAGATCGCACATCGGTTTCACGAGGCAGCGTGCGACCAAAGGTCATATTCTCTGGTATCTCGTAGGGGTACCACCTGATGTAAACGGTATATTGTAAAATTACCAAAAGAGTAGTACACATTTTGTTTGACTTACGAATACTTCTTGCCCAATGGTCCTTTGGTGCGATCGTCGAGGTCCTTTTGAGGTTTCTTGACTATTTTTAAGTGCTCCTCACCCTCCTCCAAACAGCGTTTTACCTTGATGCCGGAAGGATCAAGGGCAGGTGGCAAGCCGAAGGTATTAAATCGATTAAAGGGCTGCGAGTATCTAATCAGCAAGTACATGGCATTATTCTATTGCAGTATTTGTAATAAAAGGCTGAACCGACCGTCGATTAATCTGCTCAGCGGGAAAGTAGTGATTATGGCTGATGATATGTTTATCGTGGAATTCGGCATACTCTCGATTGACCTGCTCGGCAGGTTTTGGTGGCAAAATAATGGAGTACAGGGAATCTGTGTAATTCGAATTGGTGACTTTACCAAACGTATGGCTCAAATTGGTCACGTAGCTCGGCTTTGAGTTCGCTTCCGTGGCCTGGCCCAAAGCCGGCTTTTTAATGAACATATTCTCGCGAAATCTGTTCTGGAACTCGGCAAAAAGTCCTTGGTTCTGATTGTTGAGAAGGTCTCCCATTTGATTGGTAGGAAGCTTCGGAGTTCGTTTGGCTGGCTTGGGCAGGCTTTTACGACATAGAGCCCTTATACGGTTCTCCGCCTCCTCCTCCAAGCTCACGACGAACAGAGAATCCTTGGCACCATTAAATTCCACCGTCGATGCCAATCCTGCAGCCCGCAAGCCAGGACTTCTGTCTACGTAACGCCCGAGGTTCGCCATCAAGTCAAGTGAGTATTAGATACTTCTGTGTTATGTGAATGTTTTAATATATTCAAATGGGGAAGTCTAATGTGGCGTTTTTTCGAAAACCTACCTAAATCCGAAAATATTTATGCACCCATTTGACTCATTTGTTTTTTTTGTATATTCTCACTACATGATAATATAATGTTCTGGAATTGATAATTTTCTAAGTAGAAGAAGTCATATCGCTGATCATTTCGGCACGGAACTGCGCAACAGATGCCAATTCTTTCTTATCCAGATCCCGATCCTGGTCCTTGTTTTTCGTCATGAGACGCTGCCAAATATCTTCGAAGGCGTCCTTGGAGACGATATTATCGAATATCCGCTTCATTTCATCCTTGCGCCGTGGCCAAGTCATGTCGCTAGGTCTGAGGCCAACTTTGGTGGCCAACTCCGGTTGTATGATGTCCTTCACATGTGTGTTCACATCGTCCGTATCGTGAAGACTCCTGTTCGGCCAGTTAAACTCGGGCGTCACTGGTATATCTTTCATACGATCCTTGCAGAGATTTCTGTAGGTGGTTTCCTTGTTGTACATGTTATCCGGAATGTGGCCAATACATCCGACATCCGGCAGCGGTTGCTGGACGGAGAGTATCCGGCAAAACTGGTCGTAGTTCACCCGCTCCGTGCGACAGCCCTCGTCGATGATCTTACCGAAGTGCGACAACATGGTACGGATTTTCGCCTCGTCCACACGGATGTGCAGCTTGTGCATGGTCCCAAGGATCTGCCAGAGCGGCATGTGACCCGTATGCTCCTTGTCCTCCCTCTCCAGCAATGCTATCAGATCCATCATGTAGAAGTCATTCCGCTTGTGAAGACTCTCACGCAGCCGGTTCAAGTAGGATAGAGCCATCACCAAAGAATCGTCCTCTTCACACGGCCTAATGTCCTCCAGCAACATTTTGATGTTGCACTTGTCCGTACGACGCCGAAAGCCAAAAACCAAGTCCGGCACTTGATCCAAGTATCTGAAAAAATGGTAACATAAATCGTATTACCTATGATTTCTGTGTCCGAAATTAAACATTTTGTATGAACGATTTGACATATTGCGTCGAAATAAAAAAATAATGTTCGACCATTTCCGCGAACAATAAAGAACAAACTCAAGGTTGCAAAAATTTAGTTACTGAATTTTTTGAAGTGGAATTTTTTAAAATGGATATGCTAGTGTACTCACTTTTCGTATTTTTTACCCAAAGGGCCTTTGGTCTTTGTTACAAAATCCTTCCACGGCTTTGAGACCACTGTTAAATGCTCGTCACCTTGCATCAAGCACTTCTTCATGGTCGTACCACTGTGCTCAGCGCCTTGCAAGACTCCAAAGGTTTGAAATCGATCAAAGGGCTTTTTATATCTGCGAAAGAACAGTCAACCCAAGAATATTATACCCTTGAAAATGTATAAATAAAAGTTTCATGCCGCGGTAAGGGTATAATAATATTGAAGTATCAGGACAAAAAACATGGTATCTACCTGCGATTGATCTGCTCAGAGGGAAAGTAGTGGTTGTTACTAATGATGTGACCTTGATGAAACTCGGCGTATTCACGATTAACCTGATCGGCCGACTTTTTCGGCATTATAGTGCTATATAAAGTTTCCGCCGGAGGATTGGCGCGTCCAAAGGTCTGACTCCAATTGGTAACATCATCGGGTTTCGAATGCGTTGGCTGTATATATCCGGGTTTCCCAGACTTACAGTACATGTCCTCCAGGAACTCTTCCTTAAATCTAGCTACACGTGTCTTTTCGCCCTCACTGCTAAGAATTTCACCTATTTTGCTATACGGAAGAAATGGCGAAAGTTTTCCGATGGGCTGCGGCTTGTTTCTTCTGCACTGGAGTTCTATTTGATGGCGAATATCCTCCGCCGGCTGAGTAATGATCAGGAAATCCTTGAAAGAAATCTTATCGTCCCCGAAGGACGGCAATCCGGCAGCCCGAAAGGTGCCGTTCCTCTCGATAAAGTGTCCTTTGTTGGCCATTCTACACGGTCTGCTTCTGTTTCCTATTCTTGTTTATATCATGTATTGAGTGTTCTGTGGGTGTCTTGAAATTTGTATGTGAACTCGATTTCTTTGACATTTCGGATAAGTTTCATTCGGTCTGGAAGTTTCATCAAAGAAGGCTGGCTTTGCAAGCGGGTATCGCAAGTAACCAAATTAAAAGTTAAAGTAAAAATCTAGTAGTTTATCTGACTACTGGCTTCCCTTATACGTCTTTATAAAAACAACTAAAAAACACCTTACTCCCCAATTTAATACATATTAATTCGATGTTAAACGTAAGTTTATGTGAATCAAAAGTTTTAAAAGTATTACTTTTTTACGCTAGAGCTTATAGAAACTGAAGGTTTGTGTACCGGGTAACATGTAAGGTAAATTATGTGTAAAAATGTTGATTCTACTTAATTAGGCAGTTTAAGTTTATTCAAAGTACATTTTGATTTCGTCTTAAAGCTAAATTACTTATTGATTAATTATTAAAGGAAATCAAAGCAATCTTTTATTACACCCGTTTTGTATCTAGACTTCTGTCTAAAAACTTTCATATGTGTACATAATTGAAGTAATATTTATTTACTAATATAGCTAAATGCTGTAACAAATGTCTGCTTCAAATTAATGACGGCCCAAACTTAAGCTATATTTTGCGAAGAAAATATGTTTTCTATTTTATCTTCTGGTATATTTGTATTTGATTTTAAAATGTGATTTCATGTCTGTTATATTTATTTGTCATGGTAAATTGGCTAATTTTTATGTAGATGTGGCTTCCATTTGTTTGTGCATTTCAGTACGAAACTGCGAAACGGATGCCATTTCATTCTGGTCCTTGAACTCAGTCATTAGATTCTGCCAAATAGCTTCGAATTTCTCAGTTGGTACGAGACTTCTGAAAATACGTTCGATTTCCCCTTTGGGGCGCAAACAGCTGAAATCACTATGTGTTAGGCCACGTAAAGTGGCCAAAACCGGTGTTATGAGATCCTTGGCACACGTTTTATGCTCTTCAAGATTCTGGTTTATTGTCCCCGAATCACCCTTGAACTTGTTTTCGCGATCGGCGCAGAGCAAGCGATATGTGGTGTCCAGGCAACTAACATCGGAAACATTGGTCAAGTTACCAGTTTTCGGCAGAGACCACTGAATCGAGAGAAGGCGACAAAAATCGAGGTAATTCACCCGCTCCGTGGCACATCCCTCGTCCAGGATCATCCGAAAATTGGACAAGGCCAGGCGGATTTTGTGCGCATCCAGGCGGATGTGGAAGCTTCTGAAAATTTCTAGGATGCGTGCCAGTGGCAAGTGACCCGTCTTATCCGTATCACTCCTTTCCAGCACTGAATTTAGCACGTACTTGTGAAATTCAAGGGGGTTCCTCAGACTGTGACGCTTCTTGTTCAAATAGCGTATGGCATCTAGTAGTCGGTTAGTTTTCTCGCAGGGTTCGATATTATTAAGCAGCATCTTCACATCGCCATTGCTGCGCAGTGGAACACCGAAAGTTATATCGGGCACCGCACAAGTGTACCTACAGAAGTCTAAAACTATTAATCAGAACCAAAAACTTCAAAGTTGCTGATAAAGACTTACTTTTTGTTTCGCATGCCGAGGGGAGCCTCGGTTCGATTCATAAAGTCCACTTGTGCCTTGCCAATAACCTTCAGGTGGTTTTCACCCTCCTCAAGACAGCGTTTTACTTTGAGTCCAAAATCGCCGACAGTGCGCACATCTCCACAAGGTGACTTCGGATCAAATGGCTGGGAGTATCTGAAAATATTTAAGACGCCCAATAAATTTGCATATTTGTAATATCCAAGGGATTCACCTGCGATTGACCTGCTCAGAAGGAAAGTAGTGATTGTGGCTGATGATGTACTTGTCGTGGAAGGTCTCGTACTCCTTATTAACTTGCTCCGCCGATTTGGCCGGCAATATAACGTCATAAAGAGATTCAGTTTGGGATGGACTCGACGGACTTCCGAAGGTTTGGCTTGTATTGGTCACGTTGTCCGGCTTGGAGTACGTTTTCTTGACCTCACCCAAGGTGGCCTTTTTGAAGTACGTTTCCTCATAGAACTTCTCCTTGAAGGACATAAAGCGGGATTTCTGCAGCTCGCTGGTAAGCAAATCCTGGATGCTACTGCTGCTGGGAAGAACGGAACCGGCAGGGAGGTGGAATGATTTTTCGCTGATCTGTCCGCAATTGCGCCTCACTAGAGTCTCAGCCAATTCTTCTGGATTGCTGATACTAAGACAAACTTTTACACCTGCCTCGCCATCTAATCCACTGGTAGACAATCCTGCAGTCGGAATACTTGCGTTTCTGTCTATAAAGTGTCCCTTATTGGCCATGATATGTGAGTGTATTTGTGTATATAGAGTGGGTTCAAGTGTTTCAAGAAAACAAGTTCAAGTTCTTAAACAAAATACTGACTGTTAAAGCAGGACATCTTAAATAAATAAATAATTGTATTTATTGGTCTTGTAAATGAGTACGTTTAGATGTCAAATAATTTATGGCTTAGTATTAGTTCAACTTTAGCTAGTCGTCTAGTCTATTGTACATCATTGCACGTCTCTCTGGCCGCGGAGATGGCATCTGGTTTTTCAGTGCAGGTGGTGGTTTTTGTGCAGGACAAAGTCCCAGGTATCCTTCCATCGCAGACTGCGAACCTCATTTAAGGTCATTTTTCTCGCACCATAACTGAATGGTATAAACTTTGAGAAAATGCTGAGCACGCCCACCAACCAGAGGATTAACATGAGGCGATACAGGCGCACCAGGTGGACACCACGTCCGGTACAGAAGCGCCTGAGCAGATAGTCCACATGCTCCACAACAAAGCACAACAGAAGTAACTTAAACACAAAGGCTGGCAAGTAATTGTGCAGGAAGAGTGTACGATCCACAAAGAAATACGGCAGATAGTGCATCATGTAGCCCATAAAGAAGGTGTCACCGGCAATGACGAATCGCTGCCACTCCTGCTCCGAAATATCGAAGCAAAGACGTTGCCGTCGCATAGCATAGAAGGCGAGTAATCCGGCGTATACAAGTATTCCCGCGGTGGCTGTGTACCAGAGGAGTACGTTTCCCAGCAAATAGATCTGCCCACTAGACTTGGAGTCCAACCAGTAGGCGATGCCCTTGTCCATCAGCGGCCACTCGTGCGGCATCGAGCTGTACATGTGACTTGGCAGTGACTTCGATTGGAACAGCATCTTGGACTGCAGCTCCAGTAACTTGGCCCAGAACGAGATGCGCGTCCGCTTTGTCGGTATCATCTCGGCACTTAGCATCTGGCGCTCTCGCTCACGATGGTCCTCCGCTATAAAAGTTTTTAAAATAAGAATTAAACTTTTTTCCTATCACTCTAAGAGGACTTACTCTGAGTATAGCGGTGCTCCTCAACATTCCAGATGGTATCCTCGTGTATTCCCTTTTCACGATCCGCCACCACCTCGTGCTGATTGAAACCCCAATCGGGAAGTTGACGACCACTGAACTTTAAGAAGGCTTCTGTGGACACGTGAACGAGGCGGATCTCCGACTTGATGGCATGCCAAATGTCACCCTCGGAATCGCGATTTAGAATCTCCACGCGCCAAAGTAGCTCACCGGCCATTTTGATCTCGTAATCTATGTAACAGCTGACTTCCTGGCATTGCGGAGTCATTGCCGCAGCCACATCGTGTGAGTTCAGTGCTCGGCTCGTGATTCCATGGACCAACTGAATAATTTCACCGTGCCGTATGATATCCGGCTCATCTCCCACCACCAGGTTTTCCTTTGTTGGTCGCTTAACCAGCCACCAGTTGTTCACATCCTTGAAGGAGTAGCAGGTGACCTGCTGCTGGTGCGAGGAGCCCCTCTTGTCCGGGTACCGCACCGGATAGACAGCTGCATGCGAGTGCAGCCAACAGGTGCGTCCGTGTGTATGGCGCAGTGTGATTTGGGACCCATGCACCACTGCCAAAGGCTGTCCTTGTGTGATCGATGCCAGTCCTCCATCCAATGAGGCCTGAAACGCGCTAGTCATGATGCTATCGTGCGGTCCAGCCCGGTATAGCGTCTTGAAGTGGACATAGAAGACGCCCACATAGACGGCAAATGGAATCCCAACGAAGATTAACAGGCGACTTATGGCATGCATCCATAGCTGGCGATCTTGAAAAAAAAGAAAATGTTTTAATTTGATTCATTCAACCTCTTTTATCATATCGATAATTAAAATTACGTATACTTGAATAATGCATTTCTGTTATGCTTGTAGAAGTTGAGTTGTGAATCTGAGAAATGGGTTATCTTACCGGTGAGACCGGCGTCGTAGAGCAGTTGCCACAAGTGTCGACACGTCATATAAAAGGCAAGACCCAGTCCCAGGAATCCAACGTACTTGACGGTTCCGGCGGCTCCCAAAAAGACGGCTGCTGTCGTTCCACTAAGAAACCATTCTAGGCTGCCCAGGCGACTTCGTTGGAAGCGGAGCAGACAGGCGATGCCCACCGTGGTGGTCAGCAGCAGCATTGATTCCATAAGCACAAAGCGGGATTGCGTCAGCAGGGAGTTGTCCAGGACCACAAGCAGACCACCCAAGGCGGATGACCAGCGACTGAGCTTCGCCTCCAGCAAGAGATTGTAAACGCCGGGGGCCAGTAGACTGCCGCACATGGCTGGCACAAATCGGAACCAAAAGATGGGCATCTCCGGCGCATAGGGCTCTCCAATCCGGTTGAAGGTGTAATTGCCATCATAGCCAGCCAGGCTGACCAGTCCGGCGATCAGCTGTTTGCCCAGTGGCGGATGTTGATCAAAGAAGAAAATATTGCGCATGTACATCGAAATGTACTTGCCGTAGTGGAGTTCATCGAATCTGTCGGGTTAAGAGTAATTCTTGAATTCTTGAACTGATTAAAGCATTAAACTAAAATACATATAAACAAACAAATCTAAGCAATTGTTCTGTGTGCATTTTTCTCTCTCAGTGGTGACCCCATTTTCCTGGTTTGTTATTGTTTTTCTACTCACACGATGTGCGGCGGCGTTGCCAGTTTGTAGAATCGCGTGCCGAAGGCCAAAATAAAGAGTGTCCAGCTGAAGAGATCGATGTTCAGGTTAACGGTAAATGGCTGCTTACTCGCACTAGCCGTTTTTCTCTCTTC